CCTCCTTCATCTTCACCTCCCGATACTAACGTAAAATCTCTTACGCCTTTCCAACCTCTCACTCTGCTATCGCTGTCAACGATCCAAGCCATCGAAACCTCACTCCTAGTTTCCTAAGACCTCGCCATCGATTTCACACTGGAGCTCTCAACGTCCAAACTCTATGCCAAATCGGACAGCAAGCATCGGTTGCCAAAACTCTGGAATCTCTAGCCATGGATATGTGCTATGTATCTGAAACACATATACAGGACCCGAGTGTGGTTATCCATCACTTCACGTCACCTGGTCATGGTAATTATTCCTCAAAATTCACCTTACGAGTATTTGCAGACCAGATGGCTGGCTCTTGTGGACTTAGCACAACTGTTGTAGGCATAGCATTCAGTTGTAGTGCAGAAAGTGAGCTTCTGAAATAAATTCCAGTCAACAGCCGTCTATGTGCTGTTCGACAGAGTGAATCCGTAAGGAATAAGAAGGATTGTGAGACTAGGCGATGCCTATTCGTAATCTCCGCCTACGCATCCACCGACTGTAGTTTGAGTGATGTAGAGGATGAATTCTATGAGAATCTGTCAACTTTGCTACAGAAATCAAATCGTTCAGATGTAGTTATAACAGTAGGTGACTTTAATGCCCAAGTAGGAAAGCTGAGCGGAGCCAGTCGGAAAGGCATCTTGATGGTATTTATGGAATGCCATGTCAACGATGATCGCCCGTTGCAATTTGGTTCTAACAATCACTGATCTGGATTCAGCATTAACATCAAGCATTGGGAGACAAACTGTTTCACATGGCCTTCGCCGACATCAAACTAACGATGGACACAGACAGGTCATGTTGCTGTGAACCACTGTTTGATAGGGTCAGGCTCCTGTGTGTCCGCACCTTTCTGGTCGCAGGAAATAGGCGTTAGTTAGGCCTTTCTATGGTTGATTGGTGGATGAGAACATCGAGAACACCCTTGGAGAGGAGTTAGATAAGAATTTATCTGAACGTTACTGTAATACTCATGCTGAGGAAACCTGACGTGACGCCAAGTCGAGTGTAGAAACATTATTTGATTTCCGCGACGTCATCTGAAGTAATTGATGGGAGGAGACTGGTTCCAGCTGACTCTGACCACGACAATGAGCGAAAGCAACCTAAACTCAAACTGAGGAAGAGTCTTCGCTCTCAATGATAGTGAGCAGTGATGGGTGGCGAAAGTGAGATGGAGAATGGATCAGCGTTGGGCAACGCGCAGCGACTATCTGGGGTTATTAAAGATACCAGGAAGAAGAAGGGGATGGTTACTGAAACCATCACCGAAAAGTATGGTGCGCTGATAATCTCCAAGGAAAGGCAGCTAGATCGTTGGGCAGAACAATTTGAAGCACAGTTTAACTGACTCTCAGCAATACTTCAGTTGCCTAACATCCAGCCCGAACCTTAATGGTAGTAGATGTCGGTCTTTCAACTCGCCTTCAAGCTGAGAAAGCTGTATCGAACCTGAAACGATGCAAAGCATCAGGACCTGGCGGTTAGCCAGTTGAAGTTTCGAAGGTTTAAGGTAGGAAATGGGTGATTGGAGTGATGGAGGTCCTAGGTAGTGTATGAAAATCAGAAGTAGTAACACTACATTGGTCTACTTCTTTGATCATTCTAGTATGTAGTAAGCGAGTGAGATCCTCCTGTGACAACTATAGAGAAATTGGTTTGACTACAACTGTGTCCAGGATTCTACGGCTTAAGTTTACATGACGTATAACTGGAGCTGGAGAACATCGGTTAGATTACAGACCTGGAAGAGTGCATCGGTCATATTTCCACTCTCAGACAGGTTCTCGAACACGGGCGTAACCATCGGTCAGTGGCTGACAATTGTCACATATGTTGACCTGAAGGGGGCATTTGACTATCGATAGTGAGGAATTGTGACTGTGTCTGACTGTGAAGGGTGTACCAATTAAGGATATAATGCTAATCAAAACTCTCTACTCGGACTTACACAACCGTGTCAGAGTTGTCATGTGAATTAACGACACCTAGTGGTATCCGTAAAAGAGACCCACTATCACTCCTAACTGCGTGATAGACACACTAATGGATATAACCTTAAGGAAGCATCTGACTTCGCAAGAAATAATACATCTAATTTGTGGAAGTCATATGGTTGACTTGGAGTATGCAGACGATATTGTCCTGCTGGATGAAGACACTGACAAAATGTAGGGTCTTCTAAAGGCCTTGAGCAGAAATCGGTGTGTGTGGCATGCGTTTCACTGACACCTGTCAGGTGGGAAGCGATACTCCAGCACTAGTCTGCTGAAAGTACTCACAGTTTAATGATATGGAGTGAAGTAGTGGAATATGTCGACGGCTTCACTTACTTACTTGAGGAGTAGCATCAGCCCGAACTGGCTAGTCGCCGACGGATTCTCAGGTAGGATAGAGAAGGCTGGTTCTACATTTACCAACTTGCGTCATCTGTGGCGCCGACTGGCGAGATATATGACTACCTGTCGAAGGACGAGTATATACTGTGCTGTAGTTCTTTTTGTATTGTTGTACGGCTGTGAGACATGGCTGTTAGAAGTAGAAGACATGAAGTGATTACAGGGTTTTAACTACACATGTCTTCGTATTTGGTGGAATCGCCGTGTGAGCAATGTTGAGGTCAGGTGAAAAGTACTAGGAAAGCCAGTCAAGTCGTCTTATGAGGCTGTGAACCTTAGTCGACTGAGTTGGCTTACTCATGCTGAGTCACCACCTACCTCGACATGCCGAGCTAAGGGAAGTTGTATTAGGTTGGAAGAGGGTCCAGGGTGACCAAACCAAGTCGTCGCACCAGTCAATGAAATCTCTGACTGTTATTCTGTGCCATATGGCGAGATTTAGACTGTCTGGTTGATTTCCCCGAGACGAAAGGAATCAGTGGTTGAAAACTCTTTGTGGAAATCGGTACAATGGTGCAGATGTATTCACCCCTTTACATCTTCTAAAGAAGCTTGATTATTTGCAGAAATTGTTATCTTCAGATTGTTTATTCTTTCACATAACTTTGTCTACTTTGGTATCACTCCTATTCTATCCACTTGTTCTCTGTATATTACTGTGAAGTGTAGCAACTTGAGCCGATGTACTTGTGTTCCAGGTTCAACATTGATTCCGTCTGTCTATCTGTTTGGCTGGTTGTACAAGTGTATTTTGGTAATTTCATCTTTACAAAGACCGATATCCAATTTTGCGAGAAATATATCTGAGAATATAAGCCACTTGCATGTACAAATTACTTTCGAAAATGAAATTGGAAATTATGACTGAGAACGTTCTGATGACTTGTATTTCATTCACTATTTGCTAGCTTAGGGCTGTTTGCACGAAGAAGATCAATGATCAGCTCACCATATGGTGGCATGAGATGGAGGACAGTAGTAGTTACCATCTACCAGTCCCAACTGACGCTACAAGTGGTGCAGGTAGGATATCCAAATACCTTTCCAGAACAGAATGTGCTACTCAGCAGTGCACAAAACCATTATGAATAATAATCGTCAAAAGTGGAATGTTCGAAAATGTTCAAGGTATCTGACCATCGTTACCAACATGTAGGTATTCGACAGTTGCGGAATCACTGTGTGAACGATGTGGGAGCAATGCGTAGAACATTAGATAAAGAAGCTAGAAACTGACCATGAGGTCACAGAGTTGCATCAACTGAGATGGTTATTGTATGTATTTGATCCTCCGTCCCACCAAACGCGCAAACCATGTTAGCTGGAGTAGGACTGAGTGTTGAAGTGGTTGTGGGTTGCTAGATCAAGAAACAGCATCAATCCGATAGTATTCGCTTGAGTCATGTAGATTAGTGAATACCTAATGGGTGGGGTCCGACAAACAAAGAAGATAGATGGTTTTGTTGAGACTCCAGAGGATGTTGGTTACAGCCCGAAACCGATCGCAGTAGGGTGGACACATTCTGTGTGTTACACTCATCCAAATTGTAATATCATGCGTTTTTATTCTCTTCATCTTCTTTTCGCTTCGTTTGGTGGGTTTGTACGACTGTTAATGATCTTGTTTCTATTTCCTTACCTTCGCCCTTCTCACGTTCTCTTATGGCATTTTAAATTAAGGTGAAGCGTGGTGCATTTAGTTACGGCGCGGTTTGGAGAAGCACAGAAACTGCTTAAGTGGATTGCGAGAGACCATCAAACTCAGTAAACTGAGATGGTAATATACTTAAAGCACTGGAGATAACGCAGTACTTTAATTGTTTATAAAATTATGAGGCAAGAACTAGGAAATGTGTGATTTTTGAGTAGGCAATTTTCTAAATATTCTTTATATCTATTGATTTTCTTTATAGTAATGGTATATAATTTCATGTAGTGTATCTCTTGGTAACCTTATCGCACCGGACTTGTATGAAATAAATAGTAACAAGTGAAGGGAATACTTTTAACTCATTTCTAAATATCAAATGGTTCCTCAAATGTAATGAAGCATGGTTTTTGTCTTTTTGTTAGAATGCAACCAATCGCATATAGAACAGAAATACATCGATGACTGAGATGAATTGGTTAAAGTTTTTTCTTCTCGTATTTCTTAAGAAACCTTTCAGGGTAGATATCTCATTTCACACGTTATTTGGAGGATTTTTTAAAAAGAAACGAGTTAAGTCTATCAGCAATTCATGAGTTCAAACAGCTAATCTGCGGTGTCAAATGCTTTATTTTAACTATGAAAATTTAGATATTGACAGAACATAACAGTAACAGCTATCTTGGAGACACCTAGCCTAAAATCACAGAAAATTTTCAAGGACAAACTGGAGTTTTTATAACCGCAATAACGAAAGTTCAGACGGGTGATATTGAATAATATGGTTTTATTAATACAACACACGTACATCACAATGCCACAATAAGAATCCCTAAGTATTAGATAAAGAATTTATTTGCACTAAACTTGTGTAACAATTAGGCTATAGGAAAATAAATTACACAAATTCTTACCTAAATCGTCTATTCGAAAGCCGAACTCATCAAAGTAGCGCTTGACTACACTGGGGACGTTCGATTCTGATGAAATTTGATCATCCAACTGCCTGTATACACATGATGGTTTAAGTGATGGAACAAGAGCTGAAAACGATGCAATTTTGTTCAATTCTTTGGGTAGTATAACCACAGGAGGTGGATTTTCATCTGAATCTCCTTCATTTAAGACTCTTGTTGATTGACCATTTAGGTCAGGACTTTCACAATGTAGTTTGCTTTTCTTTTCTTCATAAACGGGACTGGATATACGGTTTTCTGAAATAAAAATTTGGTGTCCATGTAATGAATATGATGAAAGTGCTTTGTAAGGGAAATAGCATCTATAATCAACAACTAACCAGCTCTTATTGAAAAAGATTAGTAATTTGCTGTCTAGAAAATTCTAAGGCGTTTTCATATACTGCGGTGTTGTGTCATTGAATATATACATTGAAATTATCATCATGCTGAATGCTTGGATCCGCTTTGTTTGAAATACAATAAACGAAAGCAAAATGCTTATTTAGCAACATAATTCAACATCGAAACACTAAAATCTCACCATTTCTTGACTTTCTAAACACAACTTCGAATCATTAAAAGTAGTCTTTACTACACCCTTACTTAACCACGTTGAGGTGTTCGCGAGCACCGGAAATTAAATTCCTGTTGTGTTTATCATTTCGACTGCTCCTGTGAAGCCAGTTACATCGACTGCTACCCAAGGAATTTAATTTTCAATGCTGGTGAACGCCTTAGCGTGGTTATGCAAAGGTGTGGTAAAGACAATTACCAGCTCCATATTAGCACATTTGGTTCAAACGAACCATAAAATGGATATGAACGAGTTGTTTTCCATTCTGTACCGCGTTTCCATCTACTTGCCAAAAGATATCCGGCTTAAAATCCTTTAAACTGCAGAACCAGTAGCAATTAAGATCAAACAACCTGATTTGTGTGTTCAAAAGAAGCAAGTGTTGCCTCTACAACTACCGTGGCCCGATTCGGGATGCACAAATTCGTTAGCGACCTGTCCCAAATAATCTAATTCAGTACTATAGATACCCCTTCTTTCCTATACTCTACAATAATTTAACACATTCTCAACCTATTTTGTCCCTTAATATGGGTAACATTCTATCAAGGTACTACTCTTCAAATGATTCTTCTTAGCTTATTTCATCCAATTGTCATGAACACCTACCTATTGTTTATTAATCAACCACTTTATAGCATTGCCTACACCGTTTAAACGTTTAGAAAATCAATTATTTTCGATTGAATCTTAGTAACAATTGGTTCCATCATAGACGTTCACACACGATTGTTTCTGAATGATTTCACAACCGTTTACTATCATTAACAAAACTTATAAGCAAAATCTCAATATTGTTAGCGCATAATTCCTCACTATGTACATATAACTGTCGAACTTGAAGAAGTTATCACAAAGAATATTCTCTTTTCATTTAAATGGTTTTTGAACTTCGAATCATTCAAAAAACATCCAACTGGTGGAGGTTTTTGAAAACTCACCTCGTGGTTTCAACAGGTCGATAGAGGAAAAATTACCCCGAACCAAATACAAAGAACTTTATTAGCTGGTTATCTTAGCACATCTGTGCAGATAGAATAATAAGATGTTCAGAAGAGTACTAATCAAAAGGGTAACAAACAAAAGAAAGCTTGTCACTGTCCCACACATTTATTCACTTGTATTCAATGTCAATTGTTCCACTGTAACTCAGTGCACTAATAGATGAAATTTACTGCCCGTCATATGTAAAAAAAATGACTTTTCATAAAATATCAGCTGAATTCATGCTGAGCTAAAGTTTTCAAATTGCTTCGTGGTAATAATACCAATATTCGAAGAGGTTTATCCCTCCCATAGACTGGCACGGGATATCTGCACACCTAAAATAAGTTGCTACTGTAAAATTCTATCCGTTCTAACGGCAGAAAAAGTGCAAATATTGGATTGCATAGAATTATACTGTCAGACTTAAAATCAAATTTGAATATAACATAAAGGCAGGTCTACAATTGCAGAAATTTTGGGAAAAATCATGTACGAAAAGTGAGACGATGTTTTTTATTTATTGAAATTAATGATCACGTAAACAGAAATACTGGCCAAAATCAAGGATATGCCTATTGATTTTTAAAGCAAGACATAAACGAAACAAGTCCTTATAGAAACGCTATACTAAATACTCCAGTAGAGGTAAGTGCATTTCAACACTTTCGATCTCTGAAGATGATTAATTGTAACTTATAGCACTCTACGTAATGAGGGATTATCTGATCAGTTGGCTTCGATCTTTTTCTGCACCCATATGGCTTTAGTTTAACAAAAGAAGTATCACTAAGGAAAATCGAGTCATGAATTATATGTTTTCCACCTTAGAAGAGAACAAAGTGGCGATACTGGTAATTTTCTTATTAAAAAAATTCGTAAAATATTTTTCAAGTGCCTTTTATATTGGAAACTGTTATATTTGGTTAGTTTAGACAGAATCGAGCGGCCTAAGTTGGGATATGGAAAATTCATCCTCAATATCAAAATGAAGTTATCGGTTATATTGAGCCATCCACACAGGAGCCCATCTAACAATACTGGATGACCAGTTCCGTCCAAATCAATAAACAACGGGAAAAAAGTTCTAACATCAAGTTACACCACTGCACAGCATCGGCTATCATAACTCAGTAGCACGGTGGATATTGTTCCAGGGTTTGAAGCAATGGGTGGTGTGTTCTATTGTGTTAAAATTATCACTTGCTGGTAGGCGGTTGGATCCCGCCAATGAATTCCGAGTAGGACGAAGCGCTCATCTTGGAGTGCACTGCTATAAGTATCCACCTTTGAGTAACTTTAAAAATTTGAAAGATTAAATTTATTTATTGTAGGATAAATGCCGCTTACTCTAGAAGTAAAAAGACTACAGTGGGACTCTTGGCATGGAGAATCTGCTTGACCTTATTCAAAGTATAGGAGATTTTTGAAAACGTAGAGGAAGACAGTATTTATTAAGAGGATCACTAACTAAAGAAACAGTCGCTCAGTCTTAGTTTACGCAGAACTGACTGCAAAATACAGTAGCTTAGCAAACTGATATGCATATGAATACGTATACGATCTTGGGTGACATCAGTGAGCAAAAAACTTGATTGAGAGTTTCAATCTACAAAGTGTGTACTCATCAACCAAGAATTTTGTTTATGACCTATACTACCGGCGGTTGACCCATTCAACATATAATAAACAGGTTGTTAACTGATGGGGACTAGTTAAACTGTGGCTGGTGGTCTAGGCAGGTGACTATCAACCACTAGGTCACGACTTCAATTTCCGCTCCACCTACCGAGGTTTGGACAGCCAAGTAGTATCATCAGCCCCCACACGTTAGGTATAGCACATCGCCTACTGCACGGATGTGCACAAGGTAGTTGAATGCATTTCGAGAGACTAGTCTTTACTTTGTTTTTTCCAAGTATTCATTTTATGTTCAACACGAAATTATTTGTTTATATAATTGGTATTTTATCGTTTCATTTGCACAATCTCATCAGGACTTTAAATTTCAGGTTATGAAAGCTACAAATGACAGCTGTTCCAAAACACAACTGATAAAAAGCACAAGGTGAATAGATGCCGTATTATTGACAACTCGATAACTCAAATTGATATGATTACCCGAACCAACCTAAAGTACTTTTAGCTATCAAGAACTATCGCAGCAAGCACTCAACTATTGGTTTATTACGTGCCTACCAATGGATCAATATCCTTTCGATTACTGACCAAAGTAATGGGACCTTCGCAGAATTCTGGGGGCTTAGTACAAAACTAAACATCCTTTCACAAAATATCGAAATCATTGAACCTCATTATCCATTAGTCTCAGTTAAATCATATTCAATGACCGGTATCAAATTCTAAAAGCCAATTAACTATTTGCGCACAGGTTGAACCTCTGTTAACTGTTATACTTAAATTGCCATGATAAGTCCTCAGAATAAAATAGGCAGATAAACAATAGTAAGTAGATATCAAGAACTTGATGTTACTGACATTTTGCACCAAACTCTCTTACAGATACACACAAACTTCTTTCTTATTTGAGGACTCTAACAGTTTTCATCATCCTTATTCTTCAGATATAAGACTGATTTCTGATTAGAATAAGAGCTTGCAATGATTTTAGGTTACGCTTATTATTTCCTTTCATATATATATATATATATATATATATATATATATATATATATATATATATATATATATCCGTGGCACCCGTTTTACCTCCTTTTTCACTTGCTAAGAATCACTTGTACAGTGAAATAATCCTTATTCTAAAACGACCCAATCAGTGAGGCAATATAACAGTTGGGTCTGATATTATTAAGTAATCATTCAAATTTCCGCATTTCGCAGGAGCACATTACGATACAAGGCAACAAGACACAAGACAAAGAAAGGGAAGCAATATTATGTGAAGTTTTACAAAGCAACAAAAAACAAAGGAAGTTGGAGTGAATGACAAATGTGACACGGGGATTGAGATACAGATAAGGCGTGGATGCATCTCCACCAGAGACCGACTGAGTCATATCACCTACAGTATCCAGTCAGTTTTAGTTGTAACATGTATCTCAACCAGAAGGTAAAACGAATTAAACTAGTGATCAGAGACTTAATAAACTGATAGATTTTGGTTTATTTGCCCCTAGTTTTTTCCAAACTAACCCTACCTTAACTAACACAGCAAATCGTAGTAGACCGTGACTCGGTTTACGCAACGCAAATCTCAGCTACTTCAGTCGATAGAGGTATACAACTTTATCAACCTATGAAATGAACGAAAAATATGACTAAGATACATAGATGGGCTTCGTTAGAGATATTCACTGTACAACTTATTATTACACAAACCAATAGAATACTGAGATGCACAATCGCATAAAAACACAACTGACAAAATCGACGCAGAATCTATCACACAAGTACATCGGCTCAAGTTGCTACACTTCACAGTAATATACAGAGAACAAGTGGATAGAATAGGAGTGATACCAAAGTAGACAAAGTTATGTGAAAGAATAAACAATCTGAAGATAACAATTTCTGCAAATAATCAAGCTTCTTTAGAAGATGTAAAGGGGTGAATACATCTGCACCATTGTACCGATTTCCACAAAGAGTTTTCAACCACTGATTCCTTTCGTCTCGGGGAAATCAACCAGACAGTCTAAATCTCGCCATATGGCAC